TCATGGAACGTGTCTTTTCCATCCTGCGTGCTTGTATGGATGCTAGGCAGGAGAAGAGCTTTAGTGACCGCGTGGCAGCGTCCGCTCTTCTTAAGTACAACAGAGGCCGGGGAAAATAGGAATAGGGCGTGCTAAGAGCTGGGTGTAACCTGTAACCACGGTGTCTGGTTAGGTCGTTAGGTCTGGTGTCTGGCGCTGTCTGTTCGTGTGGTGTCGCTGTACGCTTGTTTTTCTGTTTGTTTTTCTGCGATATCACGTATCACGGATCACGGATCACGGTGAAGAAATCAGAATAACACAGAGCACAGAATCGACAACCAGCAAGACCACGTGTTTCAATGTGTCGGGAAAGACAGAGGCACGTGCGTACCTCGCGCAGTGACCCTCAACGTCATGTAAAAGCAACACCGTCGGCAGAAAGCGCGTGCATAAGTACACACATAAAACTGGAAAACAAGCATAACTGCGTGCATAATTCGCTGCTGTAAGCACATGCTCAGCCAGAAAAATCCGCATAAAAAAAAAAAAAATCCGCATATCAGGTATAAGCCTAGCATGGGCTCAGAAAGAAGAAGAGACATCGAAGGTAGACATTGGGAACGTAGAACTAGAAAAGGTTCACTGAGGACGAGGTTGAGGCGTGTGTGAACAAGCTGAAGTGCCACAAAGCAGCAGGAGCGGATGGGATAGTCAACGAGTTCATGAAGTTTGGGGGGAAGGGGATGATCCAGCTGATGGTACTGCTATACCTTTCGGTGTGGAAAAACGAGTATACGCCAAGTAGATGGAGGGAAGGAGTGGTTGTGAACTTGTTTAAGAAAGGAGACAAGACTGACCCAGGAAACTACAGGGGGATCACACTGTTGAACACAGTAGGAAAAGTGTTCTGTAAGCTGCTGAACGATAGGATAGTGGGAGTATTGGAGAAGGAACATAGCATTAGTGAGGGCCAGGCAGGTTTCCGAAAGAAGAGGGGGTGCGTAGACCACGTATTCACGGTAGGGAGAATCATCCAAGGTAGAAAGAGGGCGGAAAGCCAACGTACTGCTTCCTGGACGTGAAAAAGGCATATATACGACACCGTATGGCGAAATGGGTTGTGGAAACAACTGTCCAAATGCTGGATCAAGGGGAAAATGTGGTGAGTGCTGAAGAAGGTGACAGAGTGTACGAAAAGCGCGGTCATGCTAGACGGAGAACTGTCTAAATTCTTCGACATTGAGCAGGGGGTCCCACAAGGTTGCACGCTGTCCCCAACANTGTAAGAAAAGCGCGGTCATGCTAGACGGAGAACTGTCTAAATTCTTCGACATTGAGCAGGGGGTCCCACAAGGTTGCACGCTGTCCCCAACGTTGTTGCAGGTGTTCATCAACGATCTGTTGGAAGTCGTAGAGGCAGTCCGGAAGGGAGTGAAAGTAGGGGACGCGGAAACTTCGGTGT